GTGCTCTGCTCACAGGAACAGGGGAGGATCGTGTGCTCTGCTCACAGTTTCAGTCCATCATCTCGGGGAAGGGTGCAGTTCTTTCCATGATGGCCAGGAAGGAGCCCCCCCGGGGCAGGAGAGAACCCAAGGGACATATTCCTTGTGATCTGTTCCTCCAGCTACTATCCACAGAGCAGCCACCCTCCCGCAGCCACCCTCCCGATGGTCTTTATCCAATTACGCGTGCCCAGGCGCGGGAGCAGATGCGCTGTTATTGAGGCGGTTCCAATAATCTGACTCCACAAAGCGGAAACGTGACTTCCAGGAACCAGGAACAGGAGCATATAGGACCATAGGAAACTTCACAAAACTGTGACTCCCATACATCTCACATTTTCTTATACGTGAGAATAAGAAAAAGCAATATAAATTGACTTTCTCCGTGATGAACAGAGTCAAATATAAGTATATAAATAACTGACTTTTTAAAATTACTGTATTATCATGTGAAAATAGGGCTGGAGAGAAAGCTCAACACCTGTCATAAGAGTCTGGACCTCTAGGACCCAGAGACACTGTCAGGCAAATGGAGTGGATTCATGTAATTCTAGCCTTGAAAAGGGAGAGGTAAGATCCACAGAGCAAGCTGTCTAGGATGACCGGCCATATTGGGGACCTCTGGGTTTGATTGTGAGGTCCTGACTCGGGAAATAAAGTAGAAAAGTAATGAAGAATGGTTCTTGTTATCAACTTCAGGTTCCTAATGTGTGCACACACACACATGCACACACAGACTGATACAATGTGTATCTGCACACACATGCAAGCATGCACACACATATGTATATGTATCCATACATACATACAAGCAAGCATACACACCACACATGCAAGCATGCACACATACACAAGCATACATGAAAACGGAAAAAAATAAAGAAATGAAAATAGAATTCTAAAAACAAGAAAGCACACAATTATATAATCCTAACTAGAACTTTTATCAAATGACAGAAAAAGCAAAGCCAAAAATATTAAAAGCTGAAGACATTAATTTTTTTGTTCTATTACTGAATCCAATTTCTGTCCGACATGGCACTTCTGAACAAAAACAGCCTGGCTATAGGATAACGTCATCATACATGGTTTGCAGACAGCTGTCCCTGGGGACAATTATGGAGCTGATCTTTAGCAAATAAGAAGCATTCAAGATGGAGACAAAGAAGGTTTTTTTCTTTGACCAAGTGCTTGCCATGTGCCAAGTATGGCATTCGGAAGAAGGAAACCTTCATGAATTCTAACTTGTCGAGTTGGAAGAAGAAGAAAAATTCAATGATCTTATGCTTTAATTATTAGTTTCGTGAATTTTCTATTACAACCTGCATCCGGTACCTACCACTTCATTATCCTCTCTACTGGGCATAAAATTATAAAAAGCACAGAATCTTTCCAAGGAAGAGACTGAGAGGTTTATAAATGTTCTGCAAAATGAACTACTGGCAGATGGAATGGGAGACACAGAGAAGAAAAGCTGAGAAAGCCAGTATGGGACAGCAGCTCACAACTAAAGGTAGCTACAGGGCCTGCAAAGGAAGGGAAGACAGGTTAGATGGACATGTAAGTAATGCAGGGTTTCATGTAGCTAAGGGAGCATGGAAAGAAGAAAAAGGAAAAGCAGCCAAGAAGCACAGGGCCCACGCAGAGTGTTCAGCAACAGCCATGGTGCCCGTGGCTGGAGCTTAGAGTATGCGGAGGGGCAGGGAGAGAAGGGTGCGGAAAGACAGCTGACAGCAGCGGCAAGCAAGGCAGTGAGCTTTGCTATCTCGTGGCTCTAGAGCTTTCTAGGCCAAGGAGTAGCCTGGCTAGAGCTGGGCTTTCCACAGGGTAACACGGGTAGATGAGAAAGTAGAGGAAGTGTTGTAATAAGGAACGGCGGGCTATGTTCCCACCCGGATCCCAGCTAGCTTACCCCGAAATAATTACACGGAAACTGTATTTATTTAAAACACTGTTTGGCCCATTAGTTTCAGCCTCTTATTGGCTAACTCTCACATCTTGATTAACCCATTTCTAATAATCTGTGTAGCACCACGAGGTGGTGGCTTACCGGGAAGGATCTTAACCTGTGTCCATCTTGGAGAGGAGAGCTATAGCGTCTGCCTCATTGCCTTCTTCCCAGCATCCTGTTCTGTCTACTCCATCCACCTATGTTCTGATCTATCAGGCCAAGTAGTTTCTTTATTAATTAACCAATGAAAGCAACAGATAGATAGATAGAATACTCTCCTACATCAAGGAAGACAAGGAGAAGCCACCTATTTCTAAGTGAAAGTCTTCAAAGGAAGATATAAATAGCAGCTAAGTTAGAGGAAAATGCCACTCTGAAATAGTGGAAGAGGCACTGAGGAGCTGGATGGGCGAGAGGGCCGTGGAGTAAGCCCCATTCCCAGAGGTAGAGTAGGGCCAGGGGCAACAGCACTGTATAATGAACAGTGATAAAAATCTCTGAGATAAAGTATTTGGGATATGGCAACATGAACAAGTAAAAACAGGTGGTAAAATTACGTTCAAAGACGAAAATTCAAGTTAGTACAATCTCAGAACCTCAAGAATGAGTGTGAAGGCAGCAGCTTGCCTTAGAGTAAGGGATAAAGGAATGAGGAGATCCTGGGCTGCAGGGGGAACAAGGAAAAGGTCAGGGGTGGGGTTGAGAGGGGGAAATGGACAGGGTAAGTATAAAGAACGCTACAGGAGTCATGGAAATTCACAAGGAAACACACTGGCTTGTACAATGAACATAGGCAAAGCGTGTCAAGAGGTAAAGGCAATAGCTGGCGTGGTGGTGAATGGGCACAGCACTTGGAGTCAAGAGACGAAGGACCAGGAGTTGAAGGGATAGAGGCGTTCAAAGCCTGTCTGGTTACATGAGACCCTGTCTTAATCATCCATCCGATGCAAACCCATAAACTCAGTTGGCCATGACAGAGAAAAGATGGGGTCCTGAGGGCACAGGTAAGCAGCTGGCGCTGGGAAAGGAGCGATGGAGAGACTCCCATTCCAACAAGCTGAGTTCGGTCACCAGGACCAACGCAAAAGCACAAAGAGTGTTAAGGACTAGCTTAAGAGTTCTTATGCAGGGAAAAGAAAATGTTGCCAGCCAAGGAGGAAACCTCTGAGACAGGAAAGAAAACACAGAACCCCTTGAAGACAGAGCTGGGTACGAAATGAGAGACGCATGCTGACGTGGCAAAGGGAAGTGAAGCTAGGTGTTGACTA